TTGATTCAAAAGTTATATATACAATATAATACTTTTGAAAAGTAGGTTAAACTTCTAGGTCAAGGTCACAGAGTCAGAAGTCATGATATATTTAGAAAAGTCTTTTCACATGCGTAATAAACATGTATAATTTGAATGCCCTTTCTTTTCTCTTTCAAAATGATCAATTCAAAATGTTATGTTTTGGAAAGTAGGTAAAACTTAAAGGTCAAGGTCTTACTTGGGTTAAAAAATCATAGTATATTTAGAAAGTTTTGTGGTAATGTACATGTGAAATATGAAAGCACTATCTCTTATTATTCAAAAGTTATGACCAAGGTTAAATTTATTGTGACAGATGCACATACTAGCTGTCAATAAGATGGACAGACTGACAGACAAATGAGATTTAATGTCCCCTCCCTTTCCCCAAAATGGGGGACAATAATGCCCTTGCTGTTCTTGAGAAGAAGATTTATGATGGAAAAAATCCCCTGCATATTTCTTAACGCATATCAATATTGTGTTTTCATGTCATTTTGTTTGTTGTTAAAAATCCCTCTCAGGAATTTTTCACTCATATGGAGACACCACCACTTGAAAAATAATGAGGACAAATTAGATTTGAGGTCAACATTCATTTTTGGAGTTTTCAACCATTAAGACGTAAAGAAATATTAACTCGATCCTTCCCCTCACCCCTTCCCAGACCCCTGTTTGTTCATGTATGCAAACTAGGGCTGAAACGATTCACCGAAATATTGATATTGTTCGATATAAGTGCTCGGTTCAATTTTCAATTCACCATCTCGATTTTCGGTTCGATACGTTTTTTATAATCGGGTTTGGTTAACTCTTTGAATTGGATCGGGTTCGACCTTTTTTCAATAGTTTGACACATACGAGGGAGAAAATTGAGACAGTAAAATTTCAGAGCAGACTGCAACTGCTATTATTTATACAAATAAAGTGTATTTAATCAATGGAACCACAAGAAGTCAGAGATCTACAATTAACTAATTAGTAAATTCGGGCTAGTAAAATTTTAACTACGAATGTTATACATGAAAAACACAACCAGTATTTCTACTCATTTTTTGCTATCAATTTCCCAACCAGTGAATATTTTCCAGGCGATATGCCCCTACTGTCAATAATTTTTCATAATTTATTATCTCAATTTTGTAGTACTACCTGACTTATTTGCTTCCAAAAACGATCGTTTTTCCTAATCCGAATTCCCTCCATTCCTCTGTTTATTGTAAGTACACGCATATATCTCATTAAATCATCTACGATCACTCAATCAACTGAAAGATCAGTGTTTTATGATTCACATGAAATATATTTCTAGTGAGTTTAATAATGATTTAATATGAAAACAAAACGAATGTAATTCCATTCTAAATGAGCTAGTGCAAAATAGTCAGAAAAGGAAAAGATCTCAAGTTCAAATAATTTTTTTGATTCATTTTTATTTTCTTTCATAATGATTAATTTTACATGATTTAATTTTAATAGTGATAATAAAACTTTAATTTTTATAAGAATGACCTTAGTACTCTGACTTTTTCAGTGATTATCTTTTTCAACATTAGTTTTATTTTAATTTTTGTCCCTATATTTGGGCTAGTAACTTTTTACTTGGGGTTGGTAACTTTATTGCTGCCACTAGCCCGTGGGCTAGTACGTAAATTATTAAATTGTCATACCCCTAGTACTATATCTCTTATGTATCACCAGTAATCTTATGAATAGTTTCTTTCTTAAATTGTATCGTATTGAAATAATTGAATTGTGACAAAAGTATTGCAATACGTATCATATCGTGGAGGGGGTGTATCGTTTCAGCCCTAATGCAAACTACTACTTGTTTTTACATTTTAAAAAAATGTTTATACAAATAGTTTAATGTGGTCCATCTCTGAATGATTTTCATTCCTAATTTTAGGAACATAGGTTGACACAAATTCATGAATAAAATGTCAAGTAATCTTATCATTGATGCACTTTTATTTAATTTAATGCAGTCATATTCAAATTGTGAACATTTCCAGCTCATTAGGAGAGTGGGGATGACCTCTAGGGGTTCATAACCTTTATACCATTAAATTTACATAACAAAATAACACCAGTAACAAAATTATGTATAGTCAAATGAAAAAAGTTTCCTACTATTTAGGAGTCACATGATCATTTGTCAATAAAAATGACTTTGGATGCCAGTGTCCCTCCACCCTAGAAAACAGACCCAACCATAACTTCTTTTTTTTTTTTGCTTCTCAGGAAATTCTGGTCTGGAACCCCCCACCTCCCTCCCAGAAAAAAAATTCCGGATCTTGTAACTGAATGTAACGTTGATAACGGGGGATAACTCTTCAGAATGTGAAATTCGTCTATTGTAGCATCGGATGACCTTTGATCCTTTAAACTTGAACCTAACCGTTTGCATTTCAGACTATTTTACCCAAATCTATACCAAAACTTGTACTTACCGATTGTCATTATTTAGGCCTTGTCA